ACAAATCATTGGGAGTAGTGTGTTCAGTTCTGGGTACTTTATTTAAGTAAGGATGTTAAAACCTTGGAGAGAGTGCAAAGGAGATTTACTGGAATGATACCAGGAATGAGGGATCTTAAATACATGGCAAGATTAGAGAAATTGGGCTTATTCTCTTTGGAGTAGAGGAGATTATGAGGTGACCTTATAGACATGCTCAAAATTACAAACTTTTTTTTTTTTTTAAAAAGAATAGAGGATGTTCTGTTTCCATTAGTTGGCATGTCAGTAACAAGGGATCTCAATTTCAAGGTCAGCAGCAAGGGAGCTAGAGTGAGATGAGAAACTCTTTATTCCAAAAGTTTTTAGGATTTGTGACATGTTGCCTGCGAGAGTGGTGGAGGCATATTCCATATGTGGTTCCAAAAGAGAGCTGAATATATATTTGAAAGTGATCAATTTAAGCGGCTACGGAGATAGGGCTGGAGAATGGGACTAAGTGGATCAGTCTTTCAAGAGCCAGTACAGACATGATGTGTAGATTGGCCTCCTTCTGTACTGTAAAATTCCATGATTGTAAGCCCTGGGATGTCAGTCTGGAGGACACTGCAGAGCAGACAAGGTTGGGTTAGTCATTGTTGCTTCCAGAACCTTGGTCAATGCTGGGTAGTCAATCCTATTTCATTTCTTTTAGGAGTTGTATCTAACCACTACCAAGTCTAAGTGGTTTATTATGCCGCTTTAAAGGGCATTTAAGAGGCAACAACATTGCTTTAAATTTGGAGTCATACGTAGGCCAGACCAGGTGAGGATGGAAGATTTTTCTTTTCAAAGTCATTGGGAACGATCTGTATTTTTACAACAATCAAAAATAGTGTCATAGTCACCAGTAGGACAGCTTTTAGATCCAGATTTTATTAAGTTTATTCAAATTTCACCAGCGACTATGGGGAGAATTCATACCATTGTCCCCGAAGCATCGGCCTGGGTGTCAAGTCGTGACAATACCAAGCTACTCTGTATTGGAGTCATCAAGTCTGGAGGAAATCAAGGCAGAAATTAGAATTTGAATAGGTGGGCTAAGGTACAGGTGAAATTATAGAAATGGAAAGAGATCATTTCAGTGACAGCATGTACATGAAATCAGAAGCTTCTCAAGAGACAAATGTGACCCCTTCTTAGTCATTAATGTCTTACTTACTGTTTTTATTATGCTAGTTTGAAACTATGTATTGTGAATACTGAAGTAAACTTAAAATGACAAGTCTTATATTTACAGTCACTATTAAAAGTCTCATCATTTTTTTGGCACCTGTCTTCATTCTATTTCCTAAGAGGGTCCAATTTACCCTCTACCTCCCTGCTTTTCACTATTTGCACCCCTTTGGTAATTCTCTTGTTTCTGGAAGGAAGAAAATGGTAATATAAAAGGGAGACTGAGAGGCTGTACTAGAGGGATATAGTTCACAATTGTTGATAACTCTAAAGCAGGGCATACAAATATACCAACCAACTACTAAGAACCATCAGTCAAAGGAGCTTTACAGCAGAGGCTATTAAAGATTGCCATGTGTTTCAGGTGGACTTGCAGCCTCCTCCCATTGCATGCACTGTTCTGAAATGACAGTTTATGACCACCATCATCTTTAACATCCCAAAGCTGTAAACAGAATCATCTGCACACAAAAATTCAGCAGGTGGATTATAGATTCATTGTTCTCTAAAAGCAAATTATTCCATCATCATTTCCACTGTAAAAGCAAATTTAGAAGTTGCCACATCAAGAATAAATGGCATTAACAAACCAAGCCTCTGCAATTTTTAATAACTGTGTCACTGATTGCAGACGTATATCCATACATGCTCCCATCAGACATGTGAAATCTAGAAAGTGTGCTCTTTTTCCAATGTGCCCCTTGCTTGAGACCAGCATCAGATGGTTGTGCAAATTAATATTTGTTTCCACTACAGATGCCTATTCCTGATAAATAGTAACATTGTGAGCACATATCCTTGCCATGTCCTAAGTACTGGCCACAGTTTTGCAAGGAAACACATGGAATGGTACCAGTGTTCACAATGAGGATGAAGACAATGTATACAGTAAGCAACTTGACACCCAAGAAGTGTTTAATGGTGAATGCTTACAAGACTGTGAACGAAGGGACACTTTCAGGTGAAGGCTTGGGACACAAAGGTCACCTGTGTCTCCAAAGAAATTCAAGAAATTTGAAGGGTACGAGAACATAATAAGCAGCCACCCCTTTGGCCCGGCAAAACTGCTCTGCCATTCATTAAGATCATGGCTGGATTTTCTGTGGCCTTAACTTCACTTTCGTGTCGGATCTCTGACTCTCTTGTGAATAAAGAATCTGTAACCCAGCCTAGAATATTCAAAGATGTAGGAAAGAAAATTCCAAAGTTGGACAACCCTCGGAACAAATTTCTCCTCAATTTTAAATTGAGATCTCCTTATTCTGAAACTGTGTTCCCTAATTCCAAATTCCTTACCTAAGGGAAACACCCTCTTAGCACTTATGCTATGAAGCTCTCTCAGGTTATATGTTTTAACAAAATCATCTCGCCCTCTTATAAGTTTCAATGTGCTTCGGCCCTACCTGCTCAACCTTTCCTCATAAGAAAATGCTTCCATCCCATCAATGTCGAACAGAATTTTTTTATTTTATAGAATCCCTTCAGTGTGGAAACAAGCCCTTCGGCCCAACAAGTCCACACCAACCCACAGATCATCCCACCCAGACCCATCCCCCTATAACCCACCTAACCGACACATCCCTGAACACTACGGGAAATTTAGCATGGCCAATCCACCTAGCCTGCACATCTTTGGACTGTGGGAGGAAACCCACGCAGACACGAGGAGAATGTACAAACTCCACACAGACAGTCGCCCGAGGGTGGAATCGAACCCGGGTCCCTGACGCTGTGAGGCAGCAGTGCTCACCACTGAGCCACCGTGCCGCCCCGAGTGTAGTGGACCTTTGCTAACCTGCTCCTAATGTGAGTATATCCCACTTCAAATGAAGAGAACAAAACAGTACACAGTACTCTTGGTGTAGACTCACTAATGCCCTGTACATGTGTGGCAAGGCTTTCCCACTTTTATATTTCATTCTCCTTGTAAAAAAGGCCAACATTAGATTTACTTTCCTGATTGCTTGCTGGACATGAATACCAAACTTTTATAGTTCGTGCACAAGCGTGTCCAGCTCCTTCTATACCACAGGATTGTGCAGTGTTGCCAATTAAAAATAAAATCTGCTTTTCTAGTCTTCTAGCAAAGTGGACTGCCCCAGATTTTTCCTAATTGTACACTATCTGCCATTTTCTTGCCCCACTTGTTTAATCTATCTCTATTGTTTTGTAAATTCTGTTCTTCCAAGAACTTGCTCTCCTACCTAATGTTTTCTCATCAGAAAACAGAGGTAGTACACTGCATCCTTTGAAAGTGCAGATGGCTCATATTTTGCATGCACAAGGAAGATTTTTAAATTTCTCTGACATCTTACCAAATTAGTGCTATCCTTGAAGATATACATCACTCCAAAGTGCATTTACACACCTCCCATAGTAAATATCTGAATGCAAGATCTCTGCAGACATCAAAACTACCCAACGGTAAGAGAGTTTCAGTCTTGCATCCAAAATAATTTTACAATGATTAACTCCTTAGGGTTGCTGCAAGCCACCAAATCAGTAGAAAAGAATGCTTAAACGCATTCTGAACTCATAGCAAACTACATTATAGGGAAATGTGCATCACTGTTGGTTTTTCCATATAAACATATTTGTAAATTTTAAGGAAAATATGTAACTGTTGCAATAAATTTCACAGGTCCACAGTGGGACAATCTCAATTTCATCTCCCATAACTACTAATTTTAGTTCATATTCACTGCCAAATGACTGCTTAAACAACAGTATTACCCAACAATGGCAAAAATGAAATTATTCGTTAGTTCTGCTTCAGTTATCTCATGCCAGCATAGGCATACACGCCTTTATGAAAAGTTACTGAAAAGCATCTGGCAAAACAAAGTTTAAAGTAAATCAACAAACTGTATCATTTTACATGAAAATTAACAATTAACTCTGAATTATCTTTGTAGCATAATGCAGCTATTTCCCGCTACCCCTTAAATCAAAGAATAAAAATACAATGTTATTCCACCAGCCGAGGCAAAACTCACTCTCATTCTAGCTGACCCTTAGCTTAATTGGTCCTGCCTTCAGGTTACAAGCACTACAGGTTCTTTCACCATTCTCAAGTATTTAAGTATCTTTAAGTCTTGGGTAAGAAAGAAAAAGCTGAAAAACAATTCCTTTTCCTTTAAAAGATACCTGGCAAATTGTGGGTGTGTTGGAGATGATATTTTCCAACATATGTGTACATAAACATGTATCTGTGTGCATATATGTGTGTGCATGCGCATGTGAGGGAATAGATGATGGATTGATAAGATATTTTATCTTTTCCTTTTTCTGGATTTTTTTGTGTACAATAACAAAGCAACACATTCAAATTCCTGCATCCCTGAGCAGTGGGCAAGAATCTAGCATATCCAGCAAATGGAAATCAAAACAATAAAAAACCCACTAACTTAATTTCAAAATAACTGAAGATAATCAAATGGCTAAAGAACAAAATTTCAACGGATGTGAAGCAAAGGTTTGGCAAACACAACAAAAGTGATTAAAGAAGCGTCTGGATTAGGTAGCTAACCAACAATTTGAAGAGTATTTCAGAAAAAGACTGCTGAAAATGGATATTCAGGAAGGCAAAATAAAAACAAAGTTACTATTCTGAAGCATACTCATGGTTTTTAACACTATGCAATTGTCAACAAGACCTACACATTTTTTAAAAAAAGCAGTATTTCTATTTATGCTAAGGTGGCTTAAAATATCCTTTTTGGTAACAGAAAACACAGAAATCACAGTTAATGAACACTCTTTCAAGGGAAAATCAAGAGGGAGTAAATAAACAGACGTCTCCTTACCTTAAAATAAATTGAGGAAGTGAAGAACAGCTTCATTAATGGATCAAAATAAAAAGAAATCATATCTGCAATTGTACAAAACAATGTGAACAATATTTTGACACTCATAAGAACTATTTAAGAAAGACAGGTTAGAGCGTAGAAAGGTTTTCAAAAAAAAAAAATTTAAAATATTGGAACTTCCAAATGCCACCATGCAAATAACCAGAGGCCAATTGCTTAATTCTAGAAAGAAATAAATTATCAAATTTTCACATTTTACAGGTACTCTTCACAAGGCTGTTAAAAGATCATTATTTTAAAATAATGTCAGAATGGCTTTACTGGGTCAAGGAATTGTTTTCAATCTAGATCCCAAGACCCTTCATAGTACACTTTTATCCCTGAACTACAATGCATTACTGTCTTATACCTCTACTGCTTTCATTACTTCCAAACACTGGCCCCTCCCTTTCAACATTTGTAAATTGCCTTAGACTATTTTCAGGTTTTTCTGAAGGTTAATACACAGGATCATTTGACAGTTAGGAAGGCAAATGCAATATTGGCATTAATTTCAAGAGGACTAGAATACAATTGCAGAGATGTACTGTTGAGGCTGTACAAGGCTCTGGTCAGGCTGCATTTGGAACATTGTGAGCAGTTTTAGGCCCCTTTTCTAGGGAAAGAGGTGGTGGCACTGGAGGGAGTCCACAGGAGATTCGCAAGAATGATCCCGGTGATGAAAGCTTGTCATGCAGGGTGCAGTTGAGGATTCTGGGTCTATACTGAAATGGAGTATAGAAGGATGAGGGGCATCTAATTGAAACTGACAGAATACAGAGAGGCTGGATAGCGTGGACATGGAGAAGAGAGACTAGGACTCAACAGTACTGAGAGGAATTCCTTCAGCTAGAGAATGGTTAATCTGTTGAACCCAAGCCCATTGAGTGTATTTGAACAGGGATAGGTTCTTGGTTAGTAAGGGAGTCAAGGGTTACAGGGAGAAGGCAGGAGAATGGGGTTAAGAAACATATCAGCAATGATTGAATGAGAGAACAGACTTGATGGGCCAAATGGCCTAATTGGACTTCTATATGGTCTTAAAGGTCTTAGATATTTCCACGCAATACAACACTATAGAATCTCAACTTCTGCATGTTCCAGAGATCCCCAGGTTGCTTCCCCTCTTCAATACTGAAAAAAAATCTGTGCATTATATTACTTATAATTCTTAGTTAACCATGCTGTTTTAATGAAACCTGACACTTTATACAATGTCACTGGAGATATTAAAAAATCTCACAAATAGCACAAATGTGCTTCTTTAGATCTTATTTCCTGTTTTCAAGATTTTTATATTCATGTTAGTATGTCAACATACAGCTCCTCTACACAATAGTTGAGTGATATTCAGCCAATTAAGTCTGCACTGAACTTACAAAGAGCACCCCCTCCATCACATCCCCATAGTTAACCATGCATTTACCATGACTAATCCACATGGCCCACACAACCCTGGACATGGCAGGGAAATGTAGCCTGGCCAGTCCACACAACACATCTTTGGACTGTGTGAGGAAACCAGTGCATCTGGAGGAATCCCACATGAACACAGAGAGAATGTCTATGTGGAGTTTGCACAATCACCCAATGCTGGAATCGAACATGTGTCCCTGGCGCCGAGAGGCAACAGTGCTACCCACTGTTCCTGACAATGGCACAATGGCACAATGGCTCAATGGGAATGCATTAGAGAAAGTGGAGAAGAAATTTACAAGAAGGGTTCCATGGATGAGAAATGGAGTAATGGAGATAGATTGCAGAAAGGAGGACAAAAGGATTGATTAAGAAGGGGAAAAATAGAGTGCAGGGGTAAGCTTGCAGGAACGTACAACTGAATGTAAAAGCTTATGTAGGTATGTGTTAGTGGGGAATGGTGTTGGGGAAATTGCTAGGATTAAAGGCCAATAAATTATATGCTCAGAAAGTGGTCCTATAAATAATAGATGCATTGGTGGTCACTTTGAAGATTCTACAGACTGTGAAACAGTTCCTACATCTGAAGGGTGGTTACTATAACCCCACTATTCAAAAAAGATGGTATGGAAAAACAGGGAATTATAGTCTAGCTAGCCTGACAGCAGTAGTAGGGAACATACCAAAATCCATCATAAAAGATTTAATAGCAGAGCATGGGGAAAAGAGTGACAGGATCTAACAGTCAGCAAGGATTTATTTAATGGAAATCATGCTTGAAAATCTGTTGGAATTTTGCAAGGGTGTAAATGGGAGCCAGTGGATATGGTTTACTTGGACTTTCAGAAGCTTTCAATTAGGTCCCAGACAAGAGATTAGCATTTAAAACTAAAGGGCATGCGTTTGGGGTAGTGTATTGACATGGATAGAGAACTGCTTGACAGACAGGAAACAAGAAACAACAGTAGGAGTAATGGGTCTTTTTCTGAAGCCAGTGACTAGTGGGGTACTGCAGGGATCAGTGCTTGGAACACAGCTATTCACAAAATACATTAATGATTTAAATGAGGGAACTATATGTAATATCTCATAGTAGACAACACGAAACTGGGTGGGAGGGTGAAATGTCAGGTGGATGCAGAGATGATTCAGTGATTTGGAGTGAGTAGACAGTTGCGTGCAAGATGACGTATAGTGTGCGTAAGTGTCAGGTCATTCACTTTGTTATCAAAAACTGGAAGACAGATTGTCTGAATGGCATTAGCTTGGGGAAAGGGGTGGTGCAACAAGATATGATCTCCTTGTACACCAGTCACTGAAAGTAAGCTTGCAGGTTCAATAAGCGGTAAAGAAGGCAAATCATATGTTGGCATTCATAGTAAGACCATTTGAGTGCACGTGCTGGTATGGCTTGCTGCAGTTGCATAGGGCCTTGGTAAGACCATACCTGGAATAATTGAAGTCAAACTTTAAAATGAGCTGACAGAAAAGTGTAATTGATGTCATGTTGAGTTCATCTATAGTCTAATTAAAACCAATAACTAGAGCAGCAGAATTAGGCCATTCAGCCCATTAGGTATGCTCCATCATTCAATCATGGCTGATATGTTTCTGAACCATATTCTCCTGCCTGACCCCCCTGTAACTTTCATGTTCTTCTGAATCAAGAACCTATCTATCTCTGTTATAAGTACACTCATAGCCTTCTGTGGGCGATGAGTTTCATGGATTCACCACCCTCTTGCTGAAGAAATTTCTCATCTCATTTCATCCTCATCTAAAGCATCGGCCCTTCATTCTCGGCTTGTGCCCTCTTTTATATTACTAGCTAGCTCATTCTCGTTATTTCATCTTCTCCCCCTTTATTGCTTCTTCAGTTGTCCTCTGCTAGTTTTTAAAGGCATCCCAATAATCTTCACCACATTATAAGATTTTTCTTTTGCTTTGTGCCGTTTCCAACTTCATTGTCAGCCATGGTTGCCTCGTCCTCCCTTTGGTATGTTTCTTCCTTGGGATGGATTTCTGCTGTGCCTCCCAAATTATCCCCAGAAAGTACTGCCATTGTTACTCCTCCTTCTTCCCTGCTAGGCTCCCCTTCCAAATGGCAGTACAACTCAAAAGGGACAAATGGTCTACACCTGCTATTGTTTTATATTTCTCTCATTAATGGCTAACAATAAAGGAGGTAAAGACAACTTGAAGGGTTCAAACAAGTATTTATCTGGTATAAAATCTACTTATCTCACATAAGAGAGAAGTTACTTCAATTCCTATTTTCAAAACAAGTGACAAAACAGCTGTGGAAACTACTTACTTTGTGAAATAATGCAATAATCTTGAATAAATTTGAGAATTACATTTATGATAATCCAAAATGTGAATCCAGATAGAGAAGAGCTACCTAACCAATCTCCTTCATTTTGAGAAAGTGACATTCCAAGCACTCTGCAGAAAATAAATTTCTAGGAGATTTAGATTTCTAAAAAAGAACTCAGTGCTGCTAAAAGTTGAAAATGGATAAAGAAATTAGCTGCAGAGAAATAGGAGGTACTAGGTGCAGAAATTGAGGTTTGTTGTTGGGGACTTTATGGTTTCTGATTTACATTGTGTCTCTGAATCCAAATCGTCAATGTAAATTGGAATAATTAGCAGATCAGAAATGCAGTTGAATCAGATAAATCAGCTCAAACTTCAAAATTAGATTGAAGAAAACTAGCTGTAAATAAAATTTAGCAGCTGTGAAGTACTGCATATCAGAAAAATAAGTGGCAGAAATAAACCAAGAACAAGTTCACCTCCCAAAAACGTAAAATAGCTACCTACCTGTGCTTGGGGAAATCCTTGTGAGTAAGGCAAGGATCTGAGAGCTACACCACAAACTATCATAAAGAGATAAGCTCTTGAACACAAAATCCTCACAGCATGAAAATCCTTCCTGAAAAACAATTGCATCACAATTTGAAGTATCAAATTTGCAATAATCCCACCTCCACCAGCAACTTGTTCTTTGACTCTAATCCAGAACAAATGCTCAAACATATTCTGATAGTAACTAAATAAGATGGTTTTAAGTAATGGGAAAGGAAGATCAAAATTTTTCTAGGACCATGTTAAAATATTGCAAAATGATTGTTAAGTCCCTGGTGAAGAAATGCAGCAATGTACAGAAACCTTAAATTGCACTTCCTATGGTTTAATTGTGGTCAAACAGACATACGCAATTTATTTTGTAGCATCCATCCAACTCTCAAAAATCTCAACATAGTAAGAACTCTCAATGTAATTTTTCCCAATCACATGCCAGAAACCTCATCAATTTTCAGACCAGAGTGCCTGTTTTCTCTGTATACCATCTTTCAGTATACACCTGCAACAGTTGTGATTAGCATTGCCATGATATAATCAAAAGGTCTAGTTGTGATATAAACACATTAGTGTACAAGTACATAGGAAGATAGGTACAGGAATAGGCTATTCAGCACCCACCAATCCTGCTCTGCTCTTCCATTCCATAAGAATGGAGCGACACAGTGGCTCAGTGGTTGTTAGCACTGCTGCCTCACAGTGCCAGGGACCCGGGTTCAATTCCACCCTCGGGCAACAGCCTGTGTAGAGTTTACACATTCTGCCCATGTTTGCACGGGTTTCCACCAGTTGTTCCGGTTTCCTCCACTGTTCATTGAGCAAGTTAGGTGGATTGGCCATGCTAAATTACCCAAAATGTTCAGGGATGTGTAGGTTAGGCGCATTAACCAGGGGAAATGCAGGGATAAGGTGGGGGATGGGTCTAGGTTGGATGCTCAGTAGGTCGGTGTGGACTCATTGGGCCAAATGGTCTGTTTCCATATTGTTGGGATTCTAAGATCTAAGATTGTGGCTGATCTAATTCCATATGCCTGCCTTCAGCCCATATCCCTCGATACCGTTGCTTAATAAAAAAGTTGTCTCAGAATTAATTGAACAATTAAATTAGCATTGACTGCCATTTGAAAAAGAGTTCCAAATCTCTACCACTCTTTGCATGTTGATGTGATTTCTAACATCTCTCCTGAATAGCCTGGCCCAAATACTTAGTCTATGCCTTTGGTTCTAGAATCTTCAATCAGTGGAAATAGTTTATCTACCCTGTCTTCCCATGTTGATCTTCTGAGGACTTCGATTAGATTACCCTTAACCTTCTGAATTCTAGAGAATGGTGCCCAGATCTACTCACACTCTAAAGGGGTCCAACCAGGATTTTGTATAACTGCAGCATAACTTCTGTATCCCAAACTTCAGCCCTTTCACATGAAGGTAAGGATTCCATTAGCCTTTTGGCTATTTTCTGTATCTACTTGTGGCATCTCAAAGAGCTATGCACCTGAACCCCCAAATCTCATTGGACATTCACTGTATTAAACTCTGTGCCTTCTGAAAAAACCTGATCTTTCCTTTTTAGGTCCAAAATGGATAGCCTCACACTTGCTTATATTAAAATCCATCTGCCACAGCTTTTCTCATTCACCTAATCAATTAATATCCTGTTGTAATTTTGTACTGTCCTCAACACTGTCTACAATACTGCAAAATTTTGTCATCAGCAAGCTTGGATATTTGACTTTTTATGCCATAAAAGTAGAAATTCCAATTGTTGATCAAAGTACCATAAAATCTAATCTTGTAGCTTGAGAGGTTCATATGAATAACTGCACCTTAATGGACAAGAGAAAGCTTATCTCGGAGCCCCAATGGCTGCATGCTAGTTGTGATCATCTAACACAAGAAAAATGTGTAATATACAAAAACTGCATGACTACCACTTGTCACTTCTTGATACTTTCAGACACGCATCAGATGATGAAAGCCAAGCAATGACATAGTTCCTAATGATTGCCTTTCTTGTCTTCAGTTTACAAAAGCAGGTGCCTACTTTTCTCAACATGTTCTTTCAGTGCTTCCAGTGTTCTTACCTGTAGAAATTCTTGAGTTCTAATGATGATATTTAGAAATTCAATGAATTCTTTTTCTCTCTGCAATGAGTCACCACTACAATCTGCGAACTCTATTAAAGAGGAAACAAATCTGCTTTGACAAATAGCAATCTTAAGCCTGAATGAGGGGAAAAAAATGTCCTCAGTAACAACAATAATAACAACAACTATTCAATAGGAAATTCATGCACAAAACACCTAAAACTGTATCAGAGATAATAGGAACTGCAGATGCTGGAGAATCTGAGATAACAAGGTGTAGAGCTGGATGAATACAGCAGGCCAAGCA